CAGCCATAAACTTTTTTTCCCCCTTTCAAAAATATCTAGCATAGAAAGGCCAGTCCTATTCATGTTGTTGAATGATAGGAAGCCTTCAACACGATCTTTGCTGTTAATTCACTTTGTTTTATATCATGACTTTCCTTTTAGGACACAGGGATTATGAAAGCATATTTTTTACATTTAATATATAGATATATGGGCTTTGCATAAATGTCAAAAACATTTCTCTTCTGCAAACAAATGCATTTCTTAATGCATTTCTTAACGACAGCATTCAAAAAGGCAGAATTACAGAATCAGTTATAAAACGTGCAGAGTTAGCAGGGAAGCAATTCTAGTATTGTGGCACATGAATTAATGCAAGCAAATTAATTCAAATGAATTATCTTTCCCATTCCTGGCCCTATTTGTTTTTCTACAACACTGGGAGAAATTAATTTCCTAATCACTTCAATCGGTATTGGAGGCTGCCAAAAACATCACCAGAATGTTAAAAATACGCTACTGAAGTCTGACGCCAGAACGAATTTGTTGCTCCAAAGAACACCTGCTTTTGCACACATTACTTTCAGTCCCTTGTTAAGTAGAACAATACACCACCCCACTTTCATTATTGATCTCGTCCATCTAATATATTTATTTTTGTTCTCAGTTTAGACCATTCTTAATAATTCTGAATACAAATGAGGCACGAAAAGCAAATATCCTGCCTCCTTTGAACGCTAAGTTCAAATGCCTGGGAAAAAATGGAGTGCCACATTCAAATAGCATTATATATGTAGCCTTCTGCTGGTAAAAAATAGAAATGAAATGCTATACACATTGAGGTAAAAATGAAATAGCTGCCATTTCCTTCCCCCTGAATGAAAATCTTCTGCCAAACTGCTGGAGAGCTGTAAACTCAACACAGTCCTGGGCTCAAACTATGAGAGAAGTAGGGCCTGGTGCATTTACAGTGGTGCCTCGCAAGACGAAATTAATTCGTTCCGCAAGTTTTTTCTTCTTGCGAGTTTTTCGTCTTGCGATGCACGGTTTCCCATAGGAATGCATTGAAAATCAATTAATGCGTTCCTATGGAAACCGACTTCAGACCAGGTCCGGGGACAATCTGTCCCCCGACCTCTTCTGAAGGCTGGGGGGGGGCGAAAGTCTTTGCTCCCCCCCCCCACGGCAGCATTTTAAAATCGCCCCGGACAGCGGAGGACTTCTCCGCTGTCCGGGGCGATTTAAAAGCCCTCCCGGGAAGGCAGCCAGGGGGGACAAAGATTTTCGCCCCCCGCCAGCCTTCAGAAGAGGTCCAGGACCTCTTCTGAAGGCTGGCGGGGGGCGAAAATCTTTGTCCCCCCTGCCTGCCTGCCTTTAAAAGCCCTCCCGGGAGAGCTTTTAAAGGCAGGCAGGCAGGCAGGCAGGGGGACAAAGATTTTCGCCCCCCGCCAGCCTTCCCCTCTTTTGAAGCAAGGGGCGGCAACGGGGAGAAGATCGCTTCTCCCCTTTGCCGCCCCTTGCTTCAAAAGGGGTCCGGGGGGAGAGAGAGGAAGGCGCGCGCCTTTCCCTCTGTCGCCTCTTTTGAAGCAAGGGGCGGCAACGGGGAGAAGATCGCTTCTCCGCATTGCCGCCCCTTGCTTCAAAAGAGGTCCGGGGAGAAAGGGGAAGACGCCAGCATTTTAAAAAACCTCGGGACAGCGGGGGACTTCTCCGCTGTCCGTGGCGAATTTAAAATGCTGGCGGGCGGCAGCGAAGCCTTCGCTGCCGCCCGCCAGCATTTTAAAAAACCTCGGGACAAAGGAGAAGTCCCCCGCTGTCCCGGGGTTTTTTTAAATGCTGCTGGGCGGCAGCGCTGCCGCCCGGCAGCATTTTAAAATCGCCCCGGACAGCGGAGAAGTCCCCCGCTGTCCCGGGGTTTTTAAAAAACCTCTCCGCCCCCCGCCAGGCTTCAGAGCAGCCTTCCGAAGCCTGGCGGCGGGAGGAGGTCCGAGGACAGTGGGCAAGACGCCCTGTCCCGGAGATTTCCCTATGGGCTTTCGTCTTGCGAAGGAAGCCCATAGGGAAATTCGTTTTGCGAAGCGTCTCCAAAACGGAAAAACCTTTCGTCTAGCGGGTTTTCCGTCTTGCGAGGCGTTCGTCTTGCGGGGTACCACTGTACTCTGTTGCTTTTAACTCGGCCTGCCACATCACATCTGAAACAGAAACTGGCTGTGTGAAAATATTTTTTCTAAGAGGAATGTGCAAATAGGGACTGATGGTCCTCGCCTTCCACTTCCCTCCCCAAAGCTTCTCCCTCCCAGCCAACTTTACTTCCTGTATGAGAGTCCAATTGAGGAAAACCTGACATTGGGGAGAGAGGCTATGCTACAAAGAAGCAGGCCGTGAGGGGGTGGAAGTTTTTAGTGCCCATTTGCTCAATCCTGATTTTTATACGCAGTTGGGCCATCCCATATTTAAATAAATGAGTCTGCCACTCCTTTGAGCCTCATTTGTCATTTGAGCCTCGGTCTCTTGATTAAGTGCCGAATCTAATGCTCTTAGGATCTGAAGTTTTGTGATTTAAAAAAGAAGTTTCTCTCATATATATGAATGACATTGCTCTGTTTTGATGTTTAAAAACACCTTACAATAGGGTATGCGGATGGGCAAAGGAACATAACAACCAAACCCTTTGCAAAGCTGTCAGCCAGAAATCTGTCACGGATTTTCTTTTTGCGCCATAATGTCTTTTTAAGAGGAGGGCTGAGGGTCAATAGAGGCTTTAAGAGCACTGATATTTATCATTTACAAATGACAAACAACCTATAATTTTCTGGTGGGCTTTTTAGAGTTATGGTACAAATATATCCAGAGTACACCTTGGCTCTAAAAAAAAATGCAGTTCTATCTGCAAAATTAAGATTTATTTCACTTACTGGCATTCTTGGCCATTTATATATTTCTTTTGGTTACCAAGTTCCTGTAACTATCTTGCACTGTTGAACTATGTTCTTTGAATCCTTGTATAAATAAAATTAAAAAAAGGCTGGAGACTTAAATCTATATGAATGTCCCTTGGAACAACATGCTGTTTTATTTGTTCTGTTTTTACTGATTTTCAGCAGGTGCCAGACTAGCATCATGAAAAAGTATTTGTCAACTTGCTGATGATAATAATAGCACGAAGAATGATCTGCCATACCTGTATACTGTTAAAATAGCTACATCTTGATTAGTATTGCTATGCATTTACTCAGAAGCAAGTCTTAAGTTTGATTGGCCTTAGTCCTTAGTAAGTGTATTTAGGAGAGCACCATTAATGCTAACACTTGAAGGCAATGAGCCACCTAGCTACTGTGATGCACCAATATAACTGAATGTTGTAATCAACAGACACCAAAATGTATTTTTATCCAGAATGGTGTGACCAAGACAGCAGCCACCTATGTATGGGCCAGAGTACAGTTAAGAGCCTTTTATGCGTTACATCCAACACATGGAGCTCCCACATGGTTTTTCAGTAGTCCCCCTCAGAGCAGCTGTTGTTTTGATCAGCCCTCCCTTCCAAGTCAGTGTACAGTATTTAGGATTGGCGTTCAAATGTTAAAGCATGCTTAATGGTCCACAGAACCAGAGGAGAGGCACTTCTAGATAAACAGTGCCTACTGGAAAAAAACTGTCCCAGTCCATTATGTGGATGGTCTGTGTTGGATTTAGTCGCTCAGATCTAGCAGCAGAGATGCAAGCGTGGAAAGAGGTTTATGCACATAAATGTGGTGTAGACGGGGGCATAACAGCCTCCTGCAGAGAAAAAATGCCTGCATCCAAAACCTGCTTGTTCCCAGCATAGCTACCAAGGGATACTCCCTGATTTCTCAGCAGCCAGACCCTCGGTCTCCTGGCCCCCTCCTCTCCTGCCTCTGAGTCTGAACTTCCCTCTGCCCCAGCCTCTTCCTGCTCACTAAGTCCTGATGCCTCTTCAGCTTCTGACACCTCCCCCCCCCCATTTTCTCCCTCTGACCACTCATCACCATCCCACCACCAATCCCCTGGCTCTGCGCCTTCTTCCTCTGGGGGGTTCCCCAGCTGGGGACCTCCCAACATCCAGCCAATCCATGCCACAAAGTCCTCAGCAACATGTTATATAAATTGCATATCCATCACTAATATACACACAAATAAACAAGCAACCAGCAAACTGTCAACCCAAACGAGGATGAATTGCCAATCCATAATGCCATTAAATAAAGATATATATATGGATTTAAATTGTCTGAATGCTATCAAGCAGATGAAGCAGCCTGATTCATAGCAATCTGCTGTGTTTGCTGGGTTGAGCATGGGCTAGAACACAATTATTTCACATGAAACAGCACGCATATAGAATAATAATAATAATAATAATAATTTATTATTTATACCCCGCCCATCTGGCTGGGCCTCCCCAGCCACTCTGGGCGGCTTCCATAAAAACCAAAAATACAATAAAATATCACATGTTAAAAACTTCCCTGAACAGGGCTGCCTTAAGATGTCTCTTGAATGTCAGGTAGTTATTTATCACTTTGACATCTGCTGGAAGGGCGTTCCACAGGGTGGGCGCCACTACCGAGAAGGCCCTCTGCCTGGTTCCCTGTAGCTTTGCTTCTCGCAATGAGGGAACCGCCAGAAGGCCCTCGGCGCTGGACCTCAGCGTCCGGGCAGAATGATGGGGGTGGAGACGCTCCTTCAGGTATACTGGACCGAGGCCGTTTAGGGCTTTAAAGGTCAGCACCAACACTTTGAATTGTGCTCGGAAACGTACTGGGAGCCAATGCAAGTCTTTCAAGACCGGTGTTATATGGTCTCGGCGGCCGCTCCCAGTCACCAGTCTAGCTGCCGCATTCTGGATTAGTTGTAGTTTCCGAGTCACCTTCAAAGGTAGCCCCACGTAGAGTGCATTGCAGTAGTCCAAGCGGGAGATAACCAGAGCATGTAGAACATTTGATATAAACATGCCTTGTAGTCCTTCATTTAAATTAACTACAAAAATAAGGGGGGAAATGGTATTTCAGAGTTATTTTTATTGTGCAATATTTAAAACCAGTTATGTCAGACACAAAAAAATCAGGTCAACAGATTCTTGCATTTAACAATGTAGTATAGGGACCACAAATCAGTGAAATCAGTAGTAAGCATAATAACTGTACTCTACTGTGGCTAACCTTTTTATGTCTGGTTGTAATCACTAACCCCTGCTGAGCCTTCCAACCCACCTCTAAAAAAAATTCCACTGACTGCAATAGGATCTGTAACAGTGCAGGTCACTAATACAGTTGCTGAGGTACCTCTCAAACAGAGTCCACAATTTCAAAACAATCACTTCAGCTAATACTACTGAATGGTATTGGGATCAATTCTATATTCTCCTATTAACATCAACAGATAATCTGGGCCAGATTCTTCCACTTTGTTCCATCAGATCCCAAAGCTTGAGTCAGTAAATGTTCACTGATTAAGGACTGGAACCTGAGTTTGCTTCCTCATTTATTGGACCAGCTGTATTTATCTCCCTACTAATTGTACACATGCAAAATATTTCATCCCACACATTTCCTACTGCTGCCAGTTCTTAGAACAAAAAGACTACCATAGGCAAAGGCCCTGGTATGTGAAGCCTAAATTGCTTTGAAAAGACTACTTTCCACTGAGTACTCACAATTAGCAGGCAAAAGTCCTATTGCCACCAGGTAGAAACAAACTAAAGCCCTTGATGTCTGGAACGACAAGGCAGTAGCTGAAAAACAAGCAGATTTTTTGCCCTCTTGCCTACCAGCTAATCCCAAGTGTTTTGAACTGTTTATATATTTTTGTATTCTTTAAATGTGAAAAACTTTGGTTTTATGTTTGTATAGAAGAACTGACCTTGGAAAGATACAGATACGTCCACGTTACCCAACCTCACTTTAAATAATGTAAATGGGTTTCAGTACTGACACAAGAATGCAAAGTTCCTTTGATTATATCTTCTAGCGTCCTTTCCCCCCATTCTCCCTTATGTAGCATTTTTCACATCAAATTACAGCTGAGCTGTACCAGTAAAAGGCAGAAGCATTTAAATGTAACTATAGTTCCCAGTATAAGGGAGATCTGCATGGCTGCTGCTCTTCTCAGGGTGTTTTGACACTGCCTCTTTCAGTTGTTTTGTCGTATCTTTCAATTGCTTCTTCTTCTTTTTCTCCTCCTCCTCTCTTCTACGTCTGGCTCTTTCACTTTCTCCCTCTTTGCCTTCCTTCTTCTTTCTGGTTGGAGCCACTTTGCCCTTCTGAATCCGACCAGACTTGGTTATACGCACTAGCAGAAAAGTACAGATATATATATGTTACATTAATGTTATAACAAACCCATGCAAGAATGCAGTGAATTGTCAAAGGTGGAACAAAAATACGTAATTATTCAATGTGTTTTTAGTCACTGCCCACTAGTGGGCTTTTAGATAGGTTACTCTGTGAAATTCCTGCTACAATTGTGTATTGAGTTCCTCTCCACTAAAATGTTTCGAAGAGGGCAGACAGGATCCATAAAGGTGTTCATCTATTTAGTCATCTGCATCTTTTTCTAACCTTCTTCCCTTTCTGCAGAAAATGAGCAGCTTAGAATAACAGGATTTGGGAGGGGGATACAAGAGGGCACAAGGCAAAACAGCATCACACATACATCTTCTCCTGCCTTGGATTCATTTCTAGAAACAATTTCAGAAAATGGGAAGGAAAGGCGTGTTGCAGTGGGGAAGGCAGGTGCTAACAATGCACAGAAAATGAGTTCTTGCCTAACAACTGACAGTTGCTAACAACTACACCGACATATTGACTGATCATTGTTTGACTGTGTTTTCTCTGTTTTCAATACCGACAAAGCAGGAACAACAGATACACGAGCTGAACAGCAAGAAAGAGTTTTTGCAAACATTTGTATCACTACTGAAAGGTGTCCCTCCATCTTTCAGAGAATGCTGGTAAAGGAACAAAAGTGTTCAGGAAACCCTGAATAGGTCTGATTGTCCTCATCTTCCCCATTGGCTGGGATCACCCAGGAGACAACTCCTGGAAGCAGTATGTTCACTCTCAGTTTTGTTTGCCCTCAGAAATAAGTACAGTGGTGCCTCGCAAGACGAAATTAATTCGTTCCGCGAGTTTTTTCGTCTAGCGAATTTTTCGTCTTGCGAAGCACGGTTTCCCATAGGAATGCATTGAAAATCAATTAATGCGTTCCTATGGTCAAAAAAAGTCCAAACAAAGCCAAATTTGGTACAACAAGAGTTTATTAAGTGCTCTTTAAAGTCACACATACTGTAAAGAGCATTTCAAAATTCAAACCCAGATTTTTTTTAAAAAAACAGCAGAGTGGCCCAATGGTCACAGAAAATCATAAAAATGCAGAAAAAAACCACACAAGCTTCCAGATTTTTGCAAACCCCTCCCCAACTGTTCCCTCAGCCACCCACCACACAGAAATTCAAACCCAGAATTTTTTTCGTCTTGCGAAGCAAGCCCATAGGGAAATTCGTCTTGCGAAGCAGCTCGAAAAACGGAAAACCCTTTCATCTAGCGAGTTTTTCGTCTTGCGAGGCATTCGTCTTGCGGGGCACCACTGTACACATAGCAAAATCTGACTAGTCACACAGCACATTGTGTTTACAAGTTCATTATGTGATTCTTGATTGGCTGAAATCCTGTAGTGGACGAGAATGAAGTCCTGGGCAAATAAAACAATGAACCTGAAGCAGCAGTTGATTAGAAGTTTCACGACTACAAAACAGACATGAAAAATGGAGAAGGGTCTCACTGGCAGTGTTTTTTCTCATGCAATTTTCCTACTGCCTCTGAAAGCACTGGTTGTACACATACCTCCCCCCACAGAAACGAGCAAACATTTGGCATCACCCTACTAGAAATGTATATCGTGACAAAGCATACACCCTAGTTCATTTTCCCCCCTCAAGCGTTTGCCTGTCTTATGCTATCTAGCAAAATCTAGCTTCCCTCCCACCCAATTTTAAAAAGACATTTGCATTGTCCATTCTAACCTAATGAGTTGTATGGATTTAGAAAGCGGAGTTCCCTCACCCGACCGCACTCACATTCCCACCAATTCAATGTAAAGAAGACCATACATGCTCATGAATAACAGCAGCAACAGAAAATACACTGGAAGGATTGTAGGATTCTAATGTACTTTAGATATAATGGCATTTTATTTATATATTTAGATACTGCTTATATGCCAAAATGGCTTCTAAGCAGTTTACAACTATAAAATCAATACATAGTTAAAATACACAAGAACAATTCTATTGGGGCATTAAAACATCCTTCATTTAATTTAAAATGTTAAAATATACAATAAAAACCAACTAAAGAAGGAAATAATATATTTTATATTATAAATTATATTTACAATATACATGTATGCCCCAACCTATTCAAGCAATGTTCATGGCAGCTTACACTATTAAAAAAATCAATAGATTAAGTATCAACCATTAAAAAAAATAGTGACAAGCAGGAACTAGGCTGCAACAATTAAACCAATAAACTACAATAATAAGCAGCCCCAGAATCTTAGCAAAAAAGAAAATCAGCAGCTGATTGTTACAATTACTGACCATGGAAAACAAAAGCAGAACCAAAATAACAGATTAATAGTGACTGCTTACTTACCCTCCAGAGTACTCTCTTCTTCTTCCCCACAAAAATCAGCTGAGTTAGCATCTTTTGCAGCAATAAAACAAGGTGCAAAGACATTTCAGAATGTTCAACATTAAGACAACATTATGAACGCCTCAAAAGAATTGTGCCTTCCGTGGAAGCGCTAGCTACAAGTAACTTCTATACAGTGTTAAAAATAAATGGTGAGATTTAATTTATTGCAATGATAGAAATAACAAAGGATTGTGATCCATTTACATAGATTCTTAAAGTGTACATGCTTCCACTTTAGCAATAACTTCAACATACATTGCATGCCAAACAGAAATGACATAGTTTTCTCTTTACATAAATGGTTTTCTTAAGACTACATTCACATGAACAGTCAGTTCAGTTCAATGCACCTTAACATATCTAAACTCCAGCTGTGTTCTCTGAGAGGAAGTTAAAGTGAAGCAGGAGCAAGAATATTCTTCAAAAAGAGAAATGCAGAATTCCACCCCAGAATTGTTTGTGGAAATGTTTGTTTCTGACTCATCCCTCTCTAGAAACCAAAGCCAATTGAGATCTCTGGGGTGTCACCTCTTGACTTATTTAACATGGGAATGTACCCATGTAGATAATGTGGAAGCAGCATAGATGTCCCTTGCTGCTAATAATTAATACTGTTCAATGGTTTTCATGTGAATGTACCCTCAGGTTTTCTGCAATCGACATCAATGATCACTGGAAATTCTACAAATGAAAATCAGCAGCTACAATTAAAAAAATCACTACCAATGATCTATTCATCTTCACTTAAACCACATCCTATTGGCTAGAAGAACTGAAGTGGAATTTTTCATCCTATCCAACCAGTGATCTGTTCTGTGTAACAGATCTCACTGTACCATCCAGTCTGGTTCAATGGAGGAAATCCTGTTCACTGCAAAACTGTGTTCAAAAATTGCTCAGCCATGGAAGCCCCATTCTGTATCCCTATACTGAGAAGTAACACAGTAGGTGGTGTTTGTGGTGAATGTTCCCATGAAACACTTCATAAATAGTATTTATTTTCCAGCTTCCTTTGTTAAGTGGCCTGATATTGCATCTGTCTGAGGCTCATGGTTTCAAATGTAACTAAATCTGATATGAATCACATTCCTGATTTTCAAACTGTCTGATGAAAGTTTGGTCCAATTCTTCGTGGGCAAAAGAGCCGCAACCATCTGGCAAGCTTAGCATAAGCAAAGCAGTATTAGAATGCACAGTGTTGTCCAGCATGTGGAAGCCTTTATTGGTATTGTCTATGGCATATATTTTTTCTGTAGAGAAAAAGAGAAAGTCAGTATCTTCTCAGACTTTCTTTCCCACTACCTATAGACATAGAATTTCTGGTGTTTAAAATTGACATATCCCGAGTTCAGTCTCCAGTAGTTTTGGAAAATCTTAGCCATGCTTGCTCCTTTCAAATCTGAAGTTTCTTTGCCAAGTTCTTAAAGGCCAGATCTCTTCATTGCATCGCCTCTCTTCAATCCTAAATAAGGATTTTATTTTATTTTTCATCACATCAGCAAAACATAAACAAAAAATGGAATTCCAAAAGACCTGAATGGTATCCTTTATGGGCGGCGGGGGGGGGGGGGTTAGACAATGGTTGGACTCACATCATATTCATCTATAGAATTCTTTGCTTCTAGCATCCCTCACTGCACAAGATATATACCGTCCACTTTGCAGCAGCAGAAATCCTCTTCTTGCTCCAGTTCAAATGAATGAGTCTTCATCATCGTTTGTGGCCATTCACTTACCAGTCTTCTACTTGATTTTCAAGTCCAAGTGTTCCAGGAGTTGAGCTATGATAAAGCCATCTGTCTTCACCACCTATGTGCTGTAGCCATGACTTTTTGTACAGCACTGCAGTCAAAATGGCATGTCACTTTGCATACTATCAGTCTCTCTCTTCAGTCCTAGTCTAGACTCTTGCACACCATAATTTCCAAAATCCAGTACAATTCAGTCACATTTGAATCAAACATAGGAAATAAAAGAATTCCCTCTTAACAGCAAAGTTGGCAATACTTCATGTTATTTCCAGTAGGACAGCAAAACGGGAGCTCAACAGCTCCAACACACACTGTAACATTCTCCTGAAGGTCCCTACATTTTCCTGTACAAAAACACTGGGGGGTTTTCTTATAAATGTGGATTGTGATCTTGATCCAGTATCAGCACACCTGTAAATACACACACAGGTATTTCTTTCATAGCAGAGATAAAACTCATACTTGCTGATCTTTGTATTTTGCCCACTGTGTCTCAAATAAAGGTTCACAATTCCAGGCAATTGTTCACTTGCCTTTCCAAATATAGAGTTGTTTCTTGCAAGGATGTGTACACAAGCTGATTTTTGAAGAAAAGAAATTACTTGAATAAAACCAGATTATTTTCTGCAGCGTTTCAACTCCTATTCAAAGAGAATTACATATCCTTCCATTCCAGAATCAATCAATCATTTCTGAAGGGCTGTAGCTCTGTGGTACAGCATCTGCTTTGTATGAAGAAGACCCCAGGTTTGATCCCTGGCATCTCCAGGTAGGAATGGGAATGTCCTCTGCCACAGATCCTGGAGAGCCACTGCCAGTCTGTGGAGACCATTCTGAGGAAGATGGACCAATCGATCTGCTTCGACATCAGATAGCTTCCTATGTTCCTATGCATGACACAATTCAGAATGAGCTGCAGAGCCTATATTCTGCAGTAACTATCTGGCAAAGTCAACATCTACTGTTCTATGACACCCTAGAAGTGAAAGAACACCATGTTGCAGGTGCATAATGAAGATCCTCAAGGGAACAGTACAGTCTGATTATCCTTTACAGTTATTGACAAATTGTATCGGTTACAAAAGTTGTAAAGAGATGCATCGTGTTTCCGAATCAGTAAGCTAGGAAAAAAACCCCACAAAAATGTAATGCCAAAGTTCACTTTTCAAAACTCCACATGCACAGGTTGGGAATAAGTGTAAGGCTCTTTGTGGTAACAGCAGAGCTTATGATGCTCCTATACTTACTACTTTCTTGTTTTTACTGTTGTGAATACGCCTTGCTTTGCACACAACCAGACAAATCAACCTACCTAGGACACATTCTCTCTTATGACGGTCATTCCAAGCCTTCACTTTACAAGTCTTGCTGCAGGTGTAGATCTCAAAACAGCGCGTGCATACTGAGAGGTTCACACCAACTGATCGTCCACATTGGTAGCAATATTTAAAGACTCTGCAAAAGAGAAATTATGTGGAAGTCAACGTCCGTGATATATATATATAAATTACCTTGTTGGGTAATTATGTAGCTAAGAAAGGCGTCGTTGAGAATTTATTTACTTACATTTTGATTTCTAGTACTACTCTTATCACAAACGTCTTAGACTCACTGATGCAAACTCACTCTCAATTAAGCACCTGCAAGTCTTGAAGAATTGTCTGTTTCTTCAACACATGCTGTCTATAGGCAACTGGCCCAAATGCCGATGTTCCAGTTTACTGAATGTTTTTCCCCCTAACTGATAGTTTCACACCACTTTGGGAGTTGCCTGCAAAACTCTGTTAACAGGTAATCTCAGTAAATTAACTAAGCACTACATGTACAGGGCCACAGAACAGGCCAATGTGGTTAGGCTTATTCAAGTGGGTCCAATGGGGAGAGAGAAACATTGCAAGACAGCATGCCATATAGACTTCTGTAAGCTAATACGGACAGTGTGAATTTACATTTTTATATGCTGATCTTACTTGGGTGCATCTCCTTCCATTGCTCCCGCTCCAGATTTCCTTCTTCCTGCACAACAACAAACATGCAAAAGGAGATATTAAAGATTTTTTTACCTAAAGCCAGAGCATGTATACACTTGAAAACAATTACTAATGTTTCAAATATCTTGGAATTTAATGAGTTCATTTCATCAATTGTTTCCTTCCTTGTTTATTTCCTTACCAAAATTTTATATCACTTGTTCATTAATATATATATATTGTTTTAAAAAAACAGTTAAAACAGGTTATTTCAAAATATCCAAAATTATTGGATATTTTATTATTAAAATAAACAGTAGCTAAAAAGAAAATGCATGTAACTTGTGCATTATCTGGACAGGCTTGCGTAAAGAAAAATATTTTAAGCAGGTGCCAAAAAGAGTACAGGAAAAACCACCAAACAGAAAATGCGTAGAGGATAAGGATCGTGACCACTGTGCAGCTCCTATTGTGTTGGGAGTACACCAACAATAGCAGGAAATGTTAGGAAGTACCCTTGAAATCAAGCTTTGGGTCTAAGAATAGCAGCCTGCACCTGAGAAGGGAAGTTCTGCTTTGGCCTGGGGTGGCAAGGAGAGAACATCCATTACAGTAACTCAGACAGGGCACGCTCAGACAAGCTGAGTTGCAACACTTCCTACTAAAGGCACTGATTGCTATCTTCTTCACTGTAAATATTGGCTGTTCTCTCTTATCACTTGTAAATTTAATTTAAAGTTAAACAAAACAGAATCAGACCCCAATCAAGACATGATCGCCTGTCACTCTTCCCTTCTCCCCCATGCCTATATAACTAAGCCATGGTCTCCTACCAGAAAGAAGCAAAAAATGTTAATCCCTTTTCTCCAACCCACCTGCACAGAATAAAGATGCATTTTTGAAGCCATTTTGGCAGAGATTTGGGACTCTGGTTGTGATTCTTGAATTTCAGGGATTAGACAAGATGACCCATTGGGTGCCTTCCAACTCTACAGTTCTATGATCCTACCACCTCCACTTTCCCTGCCCAAATTTACTGCATCCTTGTTTTTCTACATGTTTTCAGGCATGCTTTTGGAATGCCATATATAGTTAGTTTTAACCATTCTATTAATTTCAGACTCTATTATTCAACCTATTCTTATTGTGCCGTTTATCGATTCTGTCTTAACATCATTAGCAAATATGCCAATTCCTTTTTAGTACAATAAAATTACTCTTGATTTAGCTTAAATGTCCTTGTTCACCCTTGGGGTGCCAAATTCTGGAGTGCATTTAAGTCTCAGTGTCAAAAGATTAAAAAGGGGGGAGGGGAGGATTGAAAGTGAAAACTCAAAGCTTACAAGCAAACTGCGGATTCCTAAAAATATTGTTATACTTCCAAAGGTTTTGCTTGGCCTCACCGTATTTGAGTCTTCGAATTTCCTCTCTATCCCACTGTTTTTCTCTCGACGTGACGCACTCTCGAAGCCGTTCACTGAGGTACTCCAACAACTTTTTACGGCTGGTGAAGGTTTCCCGCTCTGTCGGCGATAGGGCATGGTACGGTGTATGGAGCATTCTCTTATCCTGCAAAACACAAACACCCACAAGATGCCAATGAGGAAGCAGATCTGTACCTTCCCAAAAATATACTTCCTTGTTATATTTGCAGGGAATGCGCGAGAACATTGCACAGGAAAACCACTATGATGCCAGTAAGATTAGCATTAGAACACCCTGTAAGATTGACAGTGTGGGACACAGGTGCCGCTGTGGGTTAAACCACAGAGCCCAGGACTTGCCAATTAGAAGGCTGGCGGTTCGAATCCCCTCGACGGGGTGAGCTCCCATTGCTCGGTCCCTGCTCCTGCCAACCTAGCAGTTCGAAAGCACGTCAAAGTGCAAGTAAATAAATAGGTACCGCTCCGGCGGGAAGGTAAACAGCGTTTCCATGCGCTGCTCTGGTTCACCAGAAGCGGCTTACTCATGCTGGCCACATGACCCAGAAGCTGTATGCCGGCTCCTTCGGCCAATAAAGCGAGATGAGCGCCGCAACCCCAGAGTTAGCCACGACTGGGCCTAATGGTCAGGGGTCCCTTTACCTTTAAGATTGACTGTGAAAGAGGCTGCCTTGGGAGGGTGGGGGCTCTCCTTCACTGGAAGAGAGACCAGATGGCCATTTGTCAGGGATGCTAAAGTTGCATCATACATTGAACAGAGCACTGCTCCGGATGACCTCCAAGGTACCTTCCAACTCTACGACTCTATTATTTGTAAATTATCTCAAGTGTTACAAAAGCATCCTGGAGTCTCCTGTGATCCCTCCTTCCAAAGAAACTGAAGCTCAGAGAAGCTTCTGCTCCTGGAACTTCCATACAACTTGGGAAGCGGAGCACACTTAACAGAACTTAAAAGCCCCCAGCCAGACATCACTAAGTGCATAGGGCTCTGTAACTGCTGTGTCCTTATTGTTCAGTGGTGATGTCTAGATTACTTGCAGAGCAGGCAGATTTGTTGAAGAAAAGAGGCTTCCAGCCTTTCGACCACTTTCTGGTGAATGGCCAACCCTGCCCTATTCCCTAGCTCAGGAAACACAACAGCCAACTTAAAAGGAAAAAAAAAAGTAAAAATCCAACACTTCCTTTTACCCTTACTTTACTATGTCATTTGAAAGGAGCAAGGACTTATGAGGGCTCTTCTTTTCACAGGAATATGCTTACTCTCATAACTCAGTAATAACCAGTGAAACACACTGCACAAGTCATGCATGCAACTTCAAAGCAAGTTTCAGAAACAGCAAATTATAAAGATAGACAAATGTATATAACTTTTTATATAATTAGAAATATTGAGAAATAAATACACAAACATACAGAGAGAGAGAGAGATAAATATACATGTTGATGGAGAACAAAAGGCATGTTCACACATAGGAAAGAAATGTACATGCAGCTTGAGTTGCACTTGTTTTCCTCGTAGCCAATTCCATCAGCACTGCTCTGCTAAATAAGTGGTACTCCTAATGCAAATAGGAACTCTAAAACTGTTAAACTCGCCCTCCATGCCTGCTATCATCCCCCAAGCCATCAGCTGTTATCTGCATTTTAAAGAACATGTACAGTTCTTTAATGCATGTTCTTCATGTCACATTAGGTTGGTCCTGAACATCACTTTTTACCACCCACTACCTCTGATCTTGTAAGGTGATTGCTACTAATAATAATTTAAAGGGAACCTTGCAATCAAGTGTGAATTCATTTTCTTTCCAAAGCCAATGTCTGATCAAAATCTCTGTAAATCTTTGTGGAAGTAAAAGGTCAATGGAAAGATAAATTTGAGTTCTAAGGAAAATGAGAACAGATGCTAGAGCAATCTGTGGCACTTGGCACTGATTTCTTTTGTCAATTATAGCAGCAAAGTTCACATATTTTTAACATGTTTTTGTAGTTCGAGGCACTGAAAAGATACCTGATAGATTCTGAAATGTGCATAGTCCACCACTGTTCCCACTGCAGTTCTTGTCTCATCCCCAATAGTAATTGGCATCAACATGTCTGCACCTCCTGCTATTAGAGAATTAATCTGGGGAAACATGGGAAATAAAATAAATAAATAAATAAATAAATGCAGGCCATCAAGAAGCTCATGCGACCACTCCCTTAAGTACCACATACAGCCCAAAACAGAGTTAAGAGTTATGGTCACAACACTTTCTTTACAAACAGCGGATATACAGTGACTAGACTCAGTAGTTGCCCAGTTATTTGGGTGGCAAGGCAGAACTCAAATCATTCAGAGGGCCACTTTTATTTTTGTTTTGTTTATCACTAACTTAAAAACACGCTTCACTACATTAACCACATGAAAGCATTTTTTAAAATAATAATTTCAACCTAAACCTTTTCATTTTCACCCATCATCAGGAATCTTCTTTCCTTTTGAGCCACATTGTATGCACACTTCTCTTTCTGTAACACTACAGATCTCTGAACCTCTGTCTTCGAACCCTCCCTCCTCCCTCTCTTCACACGACAGCACACTATGTATATCAGGACACCCCATAACACGTCATCTCGCTTCTTCACCATCAAACGTCTGCACCCCACTTTTTAGACCCTCTTTTTCTGTTTCCACCTCCTCATATGTCTCTCTACAACTCCACTCCTCTCTCTGCACCCCTCAGCACTTCCACAGGTCTACTTGCACCTACATCTCTGGTTACCCCATTTTTCTCCCTGTTTCCCCACCCGCAGGTATCAACTCTTTTCTTACCAATGCAATCTTACTTGCTAGCGTCCTCTTAAATTCATAGGTTGTGTTAGCGACAGCACACAGGGCACTTCCAACTACTTGGCCTAGTGGGAGATTTGGTTCAGCTCCACCAGCCAGAAGCTCAGCCACTGCCTGAATAATGCAGCACAAAGAAAAATCTTGGAAAACATCTCAATCTACACGTTACCACTTAATGTGACCTCAAGGATCCGCTAAATCAGAACAGCATTTAACAGAATTTACAGTCATTCTGTCTTAATCTTGCTGCTGGTGCAAGCATGGCTAAGAAACAGGGCAAGGCTAATTCGATGGATGAAGCAGGACCGGTTGCCCAGGTTCCTCCCTCCCCTTGTGAACAAGACCTCCATTGCCATCACCACACCACCTTCTGCAACAAAAGTAGCAGTCGAGGTCTGAGCGTGTCCAGCAGATGGTGAGGAATCTGATGAGAGGTTGAAATAAAAGGGAACGCTTAGCCTAAATAGAAGCAAAGGTTAAAGGGAGGCATCAGAGTGGTCTACAAAAATTTGAAGAGCTCTCATGCAAGAGATGGAGACTTGATCTCTTTGCTCCAGTGGGCAGGACTATACTGTAGGGTGGAAATTTCAGGGAAGCAGAATTCAGGTCAATATTAGGAGAAACCTCTTGGTAAGAGAGAGTGGGAGCCTCAGAAGGTTGTGCGTTCTTCACTAGGTGTTTCTAGGCGTTTTAAGCAGAGACTGAATGGCAATCGGCTACGATGCTGTAGTTGCAGGATTGCTGTACTGAGCATGAGGTTGGACTGAATGCCTTCTTAAGCATCTTCCAATTACAGTCATACCCTTGGAAGTCGAATGGAATCCTTTCCGGAAGTCCATTAGACTTCCAAAACATTCTGAAACCAAAGCGTGGCTTCCAATTGGCTGCAGGAAGCTCCTACAGCCAATCAGAAGCTGCAGAAGTCCCGTCGGACATTCGAGTTCCAAAGAACGTTTGCAAACCGGAACACTCACTTCCAGGTTTGCGGCATTTGGGAGCCAAAACGTCCGAGTACCGAGGCATTCAGGATCCAAGGTACGACTGTATATGATTCTATGAGGCAGCTGCCCGCAGTGTGGTCAGAGTAGGGTGCTCTGCTAATTGAAGAATTTCTTCCCATTGTAAATAGCAGGCATGTTGTTTTCGGGGGGTGGATTCTGAGTGGGACCCCAGTGGGAACAAAAGTCTCGCCACCCTGCATAGCACATCCTGATGCGCGGCCTGTGGGGAGGGGCGCTTGTACCAGCCATGTGTTAAATAAATAAATCAGCCACACAAGGCCAAACTGTGTGAATAAAATGAAATGTACTTTGGCCTTAAGTCACAGCCCTTTACCATTGTCCTCATTCCTCCAACCCAAATCCGATAATGTTTTTAATGGTAATATTGAAGTCTGCTTCAATATACTAGCAAAACTATGAAACTGGGCAGGTTATTAAAGTGATTTATCGTTTGTGCTATAGGGATTTGTAACCTCCTAGAGCCCTGTAAGATTCTGACAAAGGTTAGAACTATATATAACTCAGTTATATAATATGCACATTTTCCCTTTTACAAGCTTCAAATAAGATTGATTAAAACTGTCCACTTGCAACTGATTACTGTTTAAATAAGAACTGGAATCATCCATCTGATGTGGCAACAACGTCCGCAGATTTTCTCAAAGAATAAATATGGAGGGAGGGGAGGGGAGGGAAGATAGCATACCTGATCATTTCCACTAGCTATAGCCAGAGAAAGAGGGGAGTGGCCACTCCACAAGACATTTGGATTTGCATTGTGTTCTAAAAGAAGACGAACAACTCTGCTTGCATTCTGGAAGAGGAAAATACAATTAAATATGATCAATAAAGAAGAAACTTTTTTTAACTTAAATAATGGATCGACTTTTAAAAACGTAAATTACGTATTTAAAATAAAACATGTTAAGACAAAGACATGCCTGCATCTCTAATTGTGAAGTTAAAAACTAAGCTAATTTGACTGGGTATTTACCAACATGCATACTGATAAGTTTCAGTTCAGAATTACATAACAGAAGTTATGGATTTGATGCAACGAATCCCAACAGTATAGAATTAAACCTACTCATATAGACATAAGAAAAAATGGACCAAACTGCTATAAACAAAGAATGCCCACAATTACAGATAGTTAATTAGAGGGAAAGTTGGGTTATTGACTTTTTATTTACGTAACCGATGGCAGTAATACAAAACTGCCAAGTAAGAAATCTATGTCAATGAAGCAATCAGCTCCCGAAATGAGACACCATATTGGGCACAACACAAATACAGCTGATTAAATAGGACCTTCCAGTTCTGTTAATCTACAGAAGACTCAATCATTAACTGTAATTAACAAATAAAAACCGTAATTGTTCAATGAGAAATCTCTAAATGCTTCAAATATGGTGCTCAAATGTATTTAACATTTCCCATTTTCTACCACATTACTATTATCACCTGCTGTCCTTCCAGCTGGCCTGAGGTCACAATCCATGCCCATTTACCTGAAAATAAGTCCGGCTGAACTCACAAGGACTTGTCCTCTTGAACCTATAGAGTTTACTATCTATTGTAATTTCAATGAGATAATGATTTCCCATCATATCTCTTTTCAACCACCACTCTATTCAAGCTCTCCAAAAGCAGACAGAAAATAGGAATGGAAATGGAGAGGAAAAGAGTGAGACTTAAGAAGTGTCAAAGCTATTCACATTCATTCAGGTCTAAAATTGGAAACTAAATTTTCCAAAAGCTTTCTCCCCAAATGTATAATTGCTTTCTGTACAGTTCTGGAACTGAGAGATCTTCGATTTGCTTTCATCTCAAAGGGAGTATTTTGCCCTCTAAAGTTGAAAATTCTATTAAAGCAGGCCATAAGCCCCAGAGTTTTTGTTATACAACAGATCCTATACAATAGGTTTGGATAAAAACAAAGATCTTCCTAAAACAAACAAACAAACAAACATAACAGTGACCACCAGGTGACAGAGAAGGGATCCAGAACAGGACTTCAGTGCTGAAGGAAAGCAGAAACAGCTCTTTCCCCCAGGCTGCTTTCTAGTTCATAAAATCATAGAATTGTAGAGTTGAAAGAGACTCCGAGGGTCATCTAGTCCAACCCCTTGCAATGCAGAAATAAAATTAAATTTGAATAAAAGTTCAAATTGCATCCTGCACCCAAACTGTTCACCCCATGGGGGAGACATATAGGTCCCTTAGTGTGTTTGCCCTTGTAGGTCAAATAGCAGTTTTAGATATTCATTTAAATTAGGAAAATAGCCTGGGTGGAAAGGATTAACTGCTCTCCCTCTGTCAAACCTATTTGCCACAAACGCATACACAAGTGCTATTAACTTTTTTTTAAAAAATCCACAGGAGAGCCACCTTTATGTAACTTCCATGTTAAATCTAGCTTGGTCCCGTCTCAGTTGCGGTCAGAAGTCTAGACAAGTGTTGTAACCAAAGCTAGATGATGCCTCCATTATAACAACATCATATTTGCACTTACTCTCTGTTCCAAGACTAGCTTAGAAGGCTTAACCCTGCCATAGGTCCTGTCATTGTATGGCAATGCAGCAGAATAGGCAATGAGACCACCATTTGAAGGAGAGTAAGGGCAAGAAGGACCTCTAAAGCTGTTGCATGCTTTCAGCCCAATCCTAGGATTGCCTCTCATGTTACATAGGAACAACAGATGCAGAATTGTCTCACAAATTTGCTATGCAAACTTCTTGTGTAATGTGAAAACAGAGCAAATTGTATTTCTCCTTCTTCCTAAAAAAACCACTTATGTAAGCAGTTCTTAGACTGCAGGCAGCCAGCTAAAGGAACTGCCAGATTGGCTCTAGTTATAAACGACAGCCCATTTGTAGCTGGCTGGATAAGAATTTAACCAGTAATCTTTCATATTAGCTGTGCTGGTCCTTCCAAACTACAAAATAAATGCTATTTGGTTCTTAATGTTGAACTTTTACTTAAAGCAGTACTCAGGACTTTTCCCAAACTAGAAAGGGGATGCTGCATTTTAATTTAATGAACTGCTAAGGGCCTCTAGCGGTCAAAGTTTGTGACTGCTCCATTGTTGCCCTCACCATAGTTCTGATGCACTGCCAAAAGCACAATATCCTGTCCCGATGTAATGAGTAGGAGAACTATCATTGCAGCAGAATGAATAGCAATCTGATGTTTATCTTTGCGGCGGGGGGGGGGTAAATTGGGGAGACATGCAATGGAGACAGAGTAAGCAGCATTCAAACAACCAAATCAAATATTTTTAAAAAGCAAAAAGATCCTTGAAACAATGAGAATGCCTAAGGGATGTCTATAGCACATATTTTGATTTGTAAATAACTATCTGAGCTCTTCAATATTAAGTGTTCCAGCAAGGGACCATCCAGATTAAAAACTATCTAAAACAACAACAACAACTTTTCAAAGGGTTACAAAATGGTTAAGGCAATGGTTAAGGCTGTTCAGTTAAGTCAGCTTGTGTGTGTTTAGGCACATACGCAAACACATATCATCATCACCATCACATTTATATCCTACCGTTCCACTAAGGAGCTCAAGGTACATGGCTCTCCATCTCCCCATTTTATCCTCACAACAACCCTGTGAGGTAGATTAGGCTGAGAGACAGTGGCTGGACAAAGTTCAACCAGTGAGCTCCATGGCTTAGTGGGGATTTGAACCCTGATCTCCGAGGTCCTTGTCCAACACTACACTACAGTTGTAACTGAGTAATTACCATTCAAAACATGCAGATGCAAGCAAGCCTATTTGATCTGTGAGGTTTTGTTTCATGCTACAAATGAAACCAGTATTTTATCATTTGAAAAGAAAAAGTGGTATACTGAGTTGTATTTTCAGAATGTGTTTAATGATATATTTCTGTTATTTAAAACAATTTTAAAGTCTAATGAAAAGACAGTAAATGGTTTATGTGCTCACTTTGGGGCAACCAATTCAGACTCCTGGTCAGCCAACAGCGATTGCAGATCTTTGCCCATATATACATACTAAGGATTAGTTTTAATACAGCAAGATGAGTGCATGAGCTACTGGACTTCAGGCTTTATTATCAGACCCTTCATTTCCATATGTTTGAAGTAGCTGGAAATATGTGATTCCTTCTTTTAAAACATAAATTCCTTACTAATGTAACACCTGAAGACTACACAAGTTAGTGAAGAAGAGCTTTCAGGTTGCAGAAGAGAGATTCCCACAGCTATCACTCACCTCATAATCATCTTCCCTCTCACATGCAATATGAAGAGGTGTCCTCCCACCTTCCTCTGGGATAATGGCACATTCTTTGTAGTAGTTTTTGGGTGGTCCCATTTCATTATTCATTTTAATCATAGATATATTTTCAGTAAGCTCATTCTGCAGGTAGAAATGGGAAAGAAAATCACCAACGTAGAAGGCTGCAGGCACCTTAAAGAGACACACAGTCTGCTCCCCGGAGTGAAACAGGAACTATCCTCCCTAAACTATGCCCAGTGGGAGTTCATAACCTGTTATGAAAAGTTCACTGCTTCTCTCAGAAATCTGCACTTCTTAATTATTCTGAAAACACAGTTAAAAGGCATTTCTACATACTTTCCAGTCATGAGCTGTACAGTGCTTATTAACATAAGCCTTTTACTGAGTCAAACCACTGGTTCATCTAGCCCCACATGGGGGAAATTTTGATTTTTAAGGGGGGCAATTCGAGAATGAGTTATTAATAGGCCTTTTAGGCTTCCTCCACATGAATAGGAGTTCACTTTTTGAATAATAAGAATTATATGTCATGTGGGGGGCAATCAGGAGTTTAGATGCTTAGGTGGGGCATGGCCAAAAAAAAGTTTGGGAACCACTGATCTAACCCAATGCCACCAGTGGACCTAGAAGGTCTTGGGCTGAGATTTTTCCCAGCCCAGCTGCCTGGGGTCCTTTTAGCTGCAGATGTTAGTAGGTTGCCTAAGAAGTTCAGGAAGAGACAAGTAGAGCCAGACAGACTCAAGGCATTCTGTATACAGTATTTTGGAACTGCCCCCACTGCCTGAATATATGTTGCTGTGACCGCATTTGCTACAACGTTTCTTTCTAAAAGTACTGTTTCAGGATAAATAGAACAGTTCTTAGGATACAAGTCAATTACTTGCTCCTCTCCGGCATAAGTAACAAGGTTGGAATTAAACGGACATACCTTGTATGAAGTCCTATCAGGACCATATATATCATTCTCATCCTCCGCCCTTACGTTAGGATCTGTAGCTGAATGAAGTAGTGAGCTTGTTATTTCAACCCCTTCTTCACCAGGAAGAGCAGCAGCAATATGAAGAGGAGCTGTGCCTCCAAGCTAAAAAAAACAATGCTATATTTAATATTACATCATAAGTTACAGAACATCTCACTACTGTGTATTCCTAGCATATTATGACAGTGAGCCATTCCAGCATTCAATGTCACCGCTAAAATTTCAGCTCAAATTGAAGACCCCTAATTCCCAGGTAGCATAAATATCTGAGGAGTGTGTATTAAGAAGCAAAGTGCAGTCAGAAATAACTGCTAACTGCAGTCAGAAATACAATCATCCTCCACTGGATGGAATGGTTAAGCTGCATGGTTGAAATTTAAAACCAGTCCAGGCAAGATGGGTTTATAAGGAAATATCTCTGTCCCTTAGAGCCCACGACAAAGCAGCAAATCCACTCCTCTAGCTGGGCCCTTTCTGGGGGGAAGTTCCGTGCTGAAGTTCTGAAAAAACATGATGGTGCATCATCCTAGCACCAAGATCAACTGAGGATACAGTAGACTTGGTCCAAATCAACTCATATACAAGACACCCCAAAATTCCTATTAAGTTTCCATTATTACCAACATTCATTAAATTCCTCTAAAATCTCTCTATTCTAATGTCTAGAGATGGGAGCGAATTGTTACAATCAGTAAAAAATATTTTTCTTCTACACTGATAAAACTATAGGGTTGAACCCAATGCTGCTCTCCCACTCACAGAAAAGAACATTTTCTGATCCAGTGGAGGCATTTGCTAAGTAAGATGAGAGGAGGTAATTTTCTCCAATTTCCCCACTTCCTGCTGCAATCCTATGAACCCCCTGAAAATTTGTTCCAGAGGGTTGTGGAACAATACAGAACAGCCTGGAAGGTGATGCAGGGGGCTACAGGGTTAATCGGGGGGGGGGGGGTGAACGCCTCCCCACCTCTTCTGTTAGCAGATAACTCAAAAGGATTTAAAACACCCACTCTGCAATGTTAAGATTAGCATTAGCTTTCATTCATTAAGAATAACAGACTCACAACACAGGCCTACTATACAAGTTTACTCTGAAGTAATCCCCACTGTACTTGTAGGATTTCAGCTCAATAGATTTATCACATGAATCAGAGTAACAGAATAGTGTGCTGCAACACAAAAGGGTAGGCATGCCTCCTACGACTGGAGAAACAGAGATTTGACATTTATATCTGGCACGTGAGCTATATTTGATGTGGTGGGTCCCAAGTTCTGTACACTTACATAAGACACCAAAACTCATACAAGAGCATTTATGCCAGGCATAGGCAAACTCCGGCCCTCCAGATGTTTGGGACTACAATTCCCATCATCCCTAGCTAACAGGACCAGTGGTCAGGGATGATGGGAATTGTAGTCCCAAACATCTGGAGGGCCGAGTTTGGGGGTGCCTGATTTATGCCATCAGTCCAATCACTAACTTAAATTCTAATCTCTCTTCTTTAATGAGAATTATCACACACAAATAAGGTTTCCCTACTCTGGTCGGAAGTCGTATATCAGTCCTTGCTCCAGCTTCTAAAAGAAATCTCACTGCATTTGGATCTGCAGCTTTAACAGCAAAGAAGAGGACATACATAGGGATTCTGCACATATTGGGATCTGCACCTCTCCTGAGCAGCAGCTTGATAGTAGCCAGTCTCTTTGCGTGTCTAAAAACCAGCAGAAAACAGAACCCCATTAATTGTTGAAAACAATTGCAGTGTTGCTAAACCTGAAGGTGAGGGTGGTAGAACTGTAGCTGTTCTGCAAGTGATGCAAACAGCTACAAATATATCATTGCTGTAATCTATCCCAGCCTTGCATCATCTCTGGCCTTCTCTTACCATGCAAAATAGCCAGATTTCTATTTGGCTGAGGCTTTTAAAATGCTAATAAATGCAATAATGTGCACAGCATAACTGCCCTCCCGACAATGACAAACACTCCCTAAGTTGCATGTTTTTGTCACTAGATAACTGAAGTATGCTTTGGCTACAGGGTGGATAAAAATCAATGCTTTTATTTAAATCAGATTTTTTTAATTTAAATCGGATTTTTTAATTTTAAATTGGATTTTAAAAATAAAATGCTTTTGGAGGAAAAATCTTTCTGAAAATAGTTTTCTATTTAAGTTACATTATAGTCCAAATGCTATTCATCAGAAAATAAGGATTTAAGTTTTCCATGTGTGCTAAAACTCAGTCTTAAAAGGTTTTTTTTTTAAAAAAAAAAAACTGTTTAACCACATCAGTTAACAAACATGGATACATATGCTGTAAAGTTATTGTTTTAGTTAAATAAATTCTTTAAATTGCTATTAAAGAAATGATTATTTTTCTCCTTCCAATTAAGTACAGCAGAAAAGTTGTCCAAATATAAAGAGTTAACTTATTAAACCTCACAATAATTTCATAATTATCTGTATTTCTAATAGTATAACCAAATCAGTAATTTTTTATATAATTGTAAAAACTACTCTGAAAATTTATTATTCCAAAAATGTAACCTTCATCTGGTTATAAATATTAATATTATACCAGCAAGAACGAGTCTTTCTGTAAAAAAAATGATTTAAATCAAGTCTTACTGACTAGTGATTTAAATCGTGATTTAAACTGTGATTTAAATCAAATTGATTTAAATCAAATCCACCTGTTTGGCTATCCTATAAGTTCTGTGCACCCAGTGTTGTTTCTGCTAATGTTTCTTTTTTAATTCAACCCATAATTGGACTAATAAAAAACTGCAAACTCCAAACATAATCATTAGTCAGTAAATAAGAAGGAAGCACAAGCGTTCCTTTCCCCTGTCTCCTGATAATTTTGCTGTCAGAGGGAACAAACACCTGAACTTCCTTCCCATTCACTGATGAGCAGAGAAGCTGGAGAAGGGGCCTCTACAAACAGCAGCTTGCTTCAACATCTGCAGGTCTCTGGAATTCTGTGCAATACAGGACTGGAGGCTGGTTATAGCTGCTTCTTTTGTCCACTAAAAGGACAAGGGGGCCTAGATGTTGTTCTGGAACCCTTATCTGAGCCAGGTTCAAAAAGAAGACTAGATAACAGAGTTTGCATGGATGGATCCATTATTGCAAGACATTTTACATAAATCAGGAATATAAAACCTCATCAAAAGAACAGTTTGTGGGTTATTGGTGGCAATGCATATAAGAGCAGGGCACCTGGTGACCATCACTTACCAACAGGTGTTACTGGGCCCCTCCTAAAGGACTAGCACCTGTCCTTCAGTGCAGGGGTGAAGGAAGGTGACGTGACATCCATGGCAGGCATCGCTACATAGGGCACATGTGTGGTGTCACTACATACGACGCATGCGCCGTACGTAGTGATGCCGCACATGTGCTGTATAGCGGTTTGCCAGCAGCGCCGCTCCAGCGCCGTACGGATGGTGCCGGGATCCTCTGCTTGCAGCTGGATCCTTCACATGTGACTGTGGTGACACGATGGCTGCTCGCGCCACCACGAGCCCCTGCGGGGTGACCCCCAGGACTGGGTCCCTCTGCCGCTGCTTCTCTGCTTCCAGATTTCTCTGCAGCGGCCGGCGCTGAGTGAGGGAAGGCCGACAAGGAGCGAGCTGCGCGGCTCCGGAGCAATGTCCGCGTTCCCCAGTGGCAGCAGAGTGTCGTGGCCGTGCTCACCGCCTGGAGCAGCTCTTGCCACAGCTCTGGGCTGGGAGCCACTGCCAGGGCTGCAGATCCGCCTGTGCTCCGTGGAGCAGACGCTGGTGCTGCTCGTGGCGCAGGTAGCAAGCTATTCGCGGTCGGTGGGTCTGTCCTTTCTGCTGGGATCCCCTCTCCCTGCTTTCCTCCTCCTCACCCCCCCCAATCCCGATTTTATACGAATGCAATCCGGAGCCGCTCTGAATTGGGGCTGCCTCCTCCAGGGTGGGCTTTGTGCCAGTTTCTACTTTCGCCCGCTGCTTAGCCATCGCTTTCCTGGGTAGAGTTTTAAGGTGTTGGGGGTTTGGTGGTGGTGGGTTTTTGGAGGGAGGGTGTTTGCATAAAGCATGCTGAAGCCGCCGGGAGATGCATGCCTTGCCTACAAAAACCCTCCCAATTTGATTATCTCGCCGCCGCCACCTTCACCCATTTTCCCTCCCAGCCAAGAAACTGCAAGAAGCACGAGGAGGAAACCTTTTGGAATCCCAGCCCAGCCTTTCTTGTGTTTTGCTTTGTGTTTTCTGCTTTCCTGTGGCCCACTTTATACTGGGTAACAGATTGCAGCCTGGTCTATTGCTTTCATTTTATGGATCAATGGTCTCGTTAGATAGTAAAATTCATGTTAAATTGTTGTTTTAGGGGTTGTTTTTAAAAGTCTGGAACAGATTCATCCATTTTGCATTACTTTCTATGGGAAAGTGTGTGTTGGTTTAAGAACGCTTTGGTTTAAGAACGGACTTCCGGAATGGATTAAGTTCGTAAACCAAGGAACCATTGTATGCCATCACTCAATACCAATGCAGCAAGCAAACTGCACCATTTCAGATCATTTTTCAGAGGTACCATATGATGCCTTCCAACCTTCCTTCAGATAAACTCTTCACTGCAAAATCACGGAAGGTATACACAGAAGCTATCCATACTGAGCAGAGCCCAACTGAGACCACCCTAGCAGCAATATTAGTGTGGTCATTGGCTTCAGCAGGCTGCCCTGTGTTCTTCTATAGTCACTTACTCTGTTATTGATGCTGCCATTCTTCCCAAAGTGCCTTCCTGCTGAACGAGCCCTTCGCAGTCAGCGAAGTATGGCACTTTTAACATGTGTTCACTAAGAGCAGCTGCACCGCGCTGCATGGCTTCTACCGAAACCTGAATCTTGAAGTTGTAAATGCCACAATTTGTCTCAGAGCTCTTTTCTACAACGCTGTTCTCCGATTCCTCAGATGACTTAACATATGTGCCACGTTCTGACTTTTCAGCAGAGCTCGACAGTGCTTCTGGTGATGCATGGCTGGCAGAAGAGGATCCTTTCAATTCTGTACTCGGCTGAGATGGTTGAGAGGACTCCGATTGCGAAAATGGCATAGATCCTGGAGATATTTCTTCTAGCATTTCTTCCATCGCCTATTATCAAGCAAAAACAAAACAAAACAAAACAAAACAAAACAAAAGAAGCGGGGGGGGGAGATATTATTTCCAAAACCAGATTGCTGCACCCCAACATAAAAAACTGCATTGTTAACATACACAGACAGACAAATTCATACCATTAGGTTGTCAAAGAAAACAGCGAAAAAGTTGACGTATGTTACTCTTCTAAAGAATTTTACAGAAAGAATTTGTCAAATACACAACATATCTCTTATTAGTTTCATTTATACATCAACTTTCTTCCATGAAATTCAAAGTAGTATACAAATGCTCCAGCTCTACTCAGAACTGTCTAACTTCAGCAAGTCTGCTGCATTACATGCCTTTGGACTATGTTTTAGAGTTTAGACTCACTTCATTATGAATGGCTACTTGTAAGGGACAAATATATCCAGTTGTCATAAGTGGCAAGGACTGCTATTCAACTCTTTCACAGATACAAATGAGTTTGCTCCTATACACACAACAGACAGGAGGGGCAAAATGTCCAATAAGAGAGATTTCAAACCTTATTTTTTATCATTGTTAATAAATGTCAGGACTTCAAAATGTGTATTGGTTGTACTTGAATCCTCTTCATGAGCAACCCTACATAGTACACATTACAATAGACTACTCTAGAAGCACAATGCCATACAAGTTATCACATCATGACCCAACATCTTCTTTAAGATCACAACCCTGGAGCAATTCATTTCACTCCACCTCATCATCTCTGGACTGCAATGCAAAGAAGGCTTCAGGCCGTTCTGCCTTGCAGCTTTGAGAGAGTAGTTAGGTTATTTCTAGTAAATGAAATTAATTTGGATCAACAGTAAAAGAAGAAGAAACTATTAGGCATTTCACTGAACTGTATTTCAGACTTACAGATTTATGATGGACTGACCTCTCTTCGAGAGAAGTTCCTTTCAGCAATGTTGGGCTGAAATGATTCTTCTGGGAAATAATGAATAACACACATAGAAAGAGCTGATAATCCTTCATCACTACATTTATTCACATCAGCCCCATTATCAAGAAGAAGGTTGATGATGTCATCATGGTAATTCATCTGCACAAGAAAACTATTTAGGTTATTTTCATACAGAATTAATACAATTTTCAGAAGCCTACTTATTTTTACTTTGAAAAAATTGAGTTTGACATTGTGGGTTTGTTGGAGGTAAATATATACTACAGGTAAGGTTTCATATTCCCAAATTGGGGATTTCCCCTTAACTTTCTGTTCATATTCACAACTGCTACTCATAGCTATTACGGTACATTTAAAAAGAGGAATTATGTCACAGCATGGAAGACAAAATAAAACCAAGCCTATTTTGCCTTAACAGAGTATAACATAGTAAGATATGGAGTCTCACAGCAGCAGCAGCAAGGGCAGTATATCCATGTACATCTGCTATATCTGGGGGGCCAGGTTGTCCATCAGAATCTCATCAACTCTATTATAGTTTCCTTCGGCTGCCTTCTTAATCAGCTCTTCACCAGCAAGCTCTTTGGGACCTTTCTCTCCAAAGCCATTCCGGTAGCCTTCCAAAATGAAATTAACATCCCAGTCCACGTCCTTCTGGTAATGCCTAAAAATGAACAACAAAAAAGAAAAATCTAGATAGACCATTTAAGTATTTCTATTCTCATCAGGATGAGATGAGGATGAGATGGTTGGATAGTGTTCTCGAAGCTACAAACATGAGCCTGACCAAACTGCGGGAGGCGGTGGAAGACAGGAGTGCCTGGCATGCTCTGGTCCATGGGGTCACGAAGAGTCGGAAACGACTAAACGACTAAACAACAACAACAATTCTCATCAGTTCTGACCTTCCAAAAAACTATTTGAAGTGATGGGGTGGACATTTTCTCTTTCCTCACCTGTGTATACATATCACTGGCCTAGCTTCTCACTGAGGTGATAAACCTGTATCTTGGCTGTACTACCTCAGACCGCAAATATATGTGCATGTGTGGTGAGGTATTGTAGGACCAAATGCTCTCCCATACAAAAATATTCCCTCTGTATACAAAACTAGGTTGCTGTTGTGACTATTAGACAAGTAGGAGGGTTTTCAATTTAGCCTTCTCCCCAATATGACAGAAAACTATGTGGAGGGCTTTTTTTTGTCTTATATGAAAAGCAATCAGTCATGTAAGCATCCATGTTTAGTCTGAAGTGGCATGTCCCCGGCACAGGCTAACCCTCCCTGCAGTAGCTAGGCTTCTGCTCCTCCCTTCTTGCAACAGCTCCTCAGGGAGTTTGATAAAGAGAAGCAGGGTCACACCACACAAAGACCATGAATTCCATGCAGAGGGCCTTCTCGGTAGTGACACCTGCCCAGTGGAAGACCCTCCCATCAGATGTCAAGGAAATAAACAACTATCTGACTTTTAGAAGACATCTGAAGGCAGCCCTGTATCAGGAAATTTTTAATGTCTGATGTTTTACCATTTTTTATATGCACTGTAAGCCACCTAGAGTGGCTGGGAAAAGCCAGCCAGATGGGTGGGGTAAAAATAATAAAATTTGTTGTTGTTGTTGTTGTTGTTATTCCAATGATTTCCAACTTGCACATCTCTCTTTCCATGTCCCTCCTTTCAATCCCCTCCAAGGAAATGGTAAAAGGGCTATTAGGGGATGGAAGAGAAAGGTTTGATAAAAGGGAGACCAGATTGGCTCAAGGCCACCCCAACCAACTCCCACACTCCTAAAAAACTAGTAGTGCCCAACAAGCAGTGCCACCAATAATAACAAGGGAAAGGAAATGAATGCGACAATGAATGTGCATGGACCTTTTGGCATGTGTTGGGGCTTCGTTGCAATTCAGCAACGATTGACATGACTACAGCAAAAGTGGTATAAATTTTAAAAAGTCACACAAGCTGAACTGCATCCAGTTGAAAAGAAGAAACAGCAGGAAGAAATGGGACTTCAGCAGCACTATCAAATGTATGGCTATCATCTAGTCTTTTTTTCACGTTACCACTTACCTATATCTATAGATGTGTTTCTGCATCCTGACCAAGAAAGGGGTTATATTGGTTATAGGCCATAGTTTTTCATAAGCCAACCGTTTCTTTTCCTTAAAATACTGGCAATCAAAGTCTTTCAGGAAGGTCTTAGTATGAGGAAGATTATCCGCATCAATTGAGTATATGTACAGGTTTTCAGGCAATGTGTAGCTATCATCATCTAAAAGAAGACGCTTGTAGTGGTAGAAAAATGGGTCCTTCTCCTCATTCAAATCCCAAAACTTATGCGTATCCTCTGAAATATACTCTCTGCTGGTCTCAGCATCAAAATAGACACTAAGTTCTGGGAAATCCGCAAGAGTGAAATATCCAGGTATTTCCGTACATAGTTTAATTATATGATTTCGATGCCACAATCCAATGTCTTGGCTATCATCTGGATGGGTTTCAATTCCTGGTCCAAACCGCTCATCACCCTTGTAAAGCCCCTTTCGGCAGGAAAAAACGAGAACAGAAGATGCAAGAGAGAACCACAAACAGAATTCACACAGTTTAATTCAACTTGCAATAATTACCTGGTATCTATCACTTCCTTACACATTTTCTAAATTCTGTGCAAACTGATTACAGTTCTCAGATAGAAGCAATATGTCATACGTTGCTTTTTTTGTTGCGCACAGGACACTAACTAGCTTTGAAGTGCATTCATTTTCTAATTCATTAGCAAATTTGTACTAACTCTGAAACATTCAAACATAGAAGTTTTCTGCAATTACTTGAATTTCACATACCTATCAAACAGCACTATGATAATTAGAAATACTTTTTATTACCTGAAATTTTCTTCCATCGTTAAATTCCATGACACCGTAGCCTTCTTTACGGCTAAGATAAAATGACCCTATAAATTTGGAGCCATCAGGCCAGAAGTAAACCCCTTTGCCATGACGGTGATCTTTATAAAACTGCCCCACATATCTCTGCAATAAAACAGAAAGAAAGTTAGGGGAGAGCAGGTGAAGTACGGTGGCCAGTTACAACCGACTGCAAGTATGTATCACAGCACTCTCATGAAGAATATTATGGAAAGAAATAAAAGAAGGATTTAACTAATATTTTCAATACAGTTTAGGCATGGTAGCATTCATTTCCAAGTCAGGGAGGCTTATTCCACTTGGCTTCATCCTGAGGAAATGACTGCACAGAAACATATTGAGAATTACAACATTTAATAAAAATGGAATATATGGAGGATAAAAGTTCAAACAAAGTTAGTATCCCTGTTCAATCCAGGATTTACAGTCTTGGAAAATTTCATTAGTATCAGATTTATTAGGGTGAATTACTTTCATTTCAAATCAGAAAAACTGGGTAAGAGTATACACTCAACTATGACAGAGATATACTTATTAAATTTTGCCGTAGCAAGCATTACTGAGTGTAAACAAGGAAGTCAGAGTGATCTACTTAACAAAAGGAATAAACAGAACACATGACATTTTATTTGAAAGCAGCAGACCTGAACTATTTACTAATCTACACATTTGTGACTATAGGAAGACCGCAACTTGCACACATTTAACTTGTGCGTATTCAGCTTTACGCGTATGGCTAAATAAATAAATAAATAAATAGGAAGGGGGCATAAAGGAGTTAGGGTTCCAGGAAAAATGACTTTGGAACTGGCATCTGCCACTGATCCCAGTGGGTTTTGACTATACAGTAGTGCCCCGCAAGACGAATGCCTCGCAAGACAAAAAACTCGCTAGACGAAAGGTTTTTTCGTCCGCGATTTGCCTCGCAAGACGAATTCCCCTATGGGCTTGCTTCGCAAGACGAAAACGTCTCGCGACTTTGTTTCCTTTGTGTAAAAACCGTTAAAACCAAGGGTGCTTAGCTTGAGCAGCTGCAGTTGCGACTTGACTTCGAGGAGCAACTGTTAGCACGTGGTTTGGGAGCCTTTTCTCAGACTTTGCTCACTTTTGAAGATTTTCCAAAACTTTTCCAGAACTTTTCCAGAACTTCTCTTTCATCCATTTGGTAAGTTAAACTTTTAAAACTTTTTTGGGGGGTTTTGGATTTTGGGTTGGGGTGTTTGGGATTCAAGGACTTGGTGTTGGGAAGGGGTTTGCGATAATCTGGGGGCTTGTGGGCCTTTTTTGGGAATTTTTATGATTTTCTGTGACCACTGGGCAAGGTGGTTTTTTTTTGAAAATTTTTCTGAGTTTGAATTTCTGAGTGCTGGCTGGCTGGGGGAACAGTTGGGGAGGTTTCTGCAGAAATCTGGGACCATGTGGGGTTTTTTTGGAATTTTTATGATTTTCTGTGACCATTGGGCCAGGTTGTTGTTTTTTGAAAATTTTTCTGAGTTTGAATTTCTGAGTGCTGGCTGGCTGGGGGAACAGTTGGAGAGGTTTCTGCAGAAATCTGGGACCATGTGGGTTTTTTTTGGAATTTTTATGATTTTCTGAGACCACTAGGCATGTTGTTTTTTTTTAAAAAAAAAATTCTGAGTTTGAATTTCTGAGTGCTGGCTGGCTGGGGGAACAGTTGGGGAGGTTTCTGCAGAAATCTGGGACCATGTGGGGTTTTTTGGGGAATTTTTATGATTTTCTGTGACCACTAGGCATGGTTGTTTTTTTCAAAAAAAATTTCTGACTTTGAATTTCTGAGTGCTGGCTGGCTGGGGGAACTTTTGGGGAGGTTTCTGCAGAAATCTGGGGGCTTGTGGGGTTTTTTTGGAATTTTAATGATTTTCTGAGACCACTAGGCATGGTTGTTTTTTTTTCAGGTTTTTTTTTCTGAGTTTGAATTTCTGAGTGCTGGCCATGTTGTTATTTTTTGAAATTTTTTTTTGTCTGGGTGGGGAAGCAGTTGGGGAGGGGTTTGCAGCAGTTGGGGAGGGGCTGGGGGAGCAGTTGGGGAGGGGTTTGCAATTTCTGTGTTGTGGGTGGGTTGGTGCGTGTCTGTGGGAGCAGTTGAGGTTTTTGAAGACATTGGTGATTTCTGAAGCTTTTCCTAAACTTATTTTGCAGCCATTTGAGGTTTCTGAGGACTTCGGTGGTTGATTGTTGAAGCTTTTCCAGAACTTCTCTTTCATCCATTTGGTAAGCTAAACTTTTAAAACTTTTTTGGGGGTTTTTGGATTTTGGATTTGGGGTTGGGGTGCTTGGGATTCAAGGCCTTGGTTCTGGGTTTTAATTTCTGTGTGGTGGGTGGCTGGCTGCTTTTGTATTTTTTGGGTTTGAAGCACATCACTGATTTTTTTTTCTTTTTCTGCGTTTACGAAGGTAGGAGCTGTGCTGCCATGGGACCCAAGAAGACTGCTGCTGCGGTGGCCGGCAAGAGGAAGAAGGAGAAGGTGACGCTGGAAATGAAGGAGATCATCCGGAAGCACGACGGCGGAATGCGTGTGACGGACATCGCCAGGGAGTACGGCAGGAACCCATCGACCATCGGGACCATCCTGAAGATGAGGGAGAAGATCCTGGCGACTGATTCAGCCAAGGGAGTCACCAGGATCGTGAAGAACCGCCCAGCTGTCCTGGAGGAGGTCGAGAAGTTGCTGCTCATCTGGATAGAAGAGAAGCAGCGTGCAGGGGACACAGTGTCTGAGGCCGTCATTTGTGAGAAGGCCAAGGCCTTGCACGCTGACCTCATCCGGGAACAGCCAGGAACCTCAGCCGAGCCAGAAGTCTTCAAGGCTAGCAGAGGTTGGTTTGACCGGTTCAAGACAAGATCTGGCATCCACAGCGTGGTCAGGCATGGAGAGGCTGCCAGTTCTGATGTTCCTGCGGCTGAAGACTTTGCAGCGGAGTTCCTGGAGCTTGTGAAGACGGAGGGCTACGTTCCGCAGCAGGTCTTCAACTGCGACGAGACCGGGCTGTTTTGGAAGAGGATGCCCAAAAGGACTTTCATCACTCAGGAGGAGTCCAGGCTGCCTGGCCACAAGCCCATGAAGGACCGTCTGACCCTGCTCTTCTGTGCCAACGCAAGCGGCGACCTGAAGATCAAGCCCCTGCTGGTGTACCACTCGGAGAACCCACGGGCCTTCAAGAGACACAAGATCGACAAGGAGCGGCTGAGTGTCATGTGGCGATCCAACAGCAAGGCTTGGGTCACACGTGTGCTGTTTGTGGACTGGGTCAATCTTGCTTTTGGCCCTGCTGTCAAGCAGTACCTGCTGGACAACGACCTGCCGCTGAAGGCTTTGCTTCTGATGGACAATGCTCCTGCCCATCCTAAAGGCCTTGAGGTGGACTTGTTGGAGGAGTTCAGCTTCATCAACATCATGTTCCTGCCGCCTAACACCACGCCACTGCTCCAGCCGATGGATCAGCAGGTCATCGCCAATTTCAAAAAACTCTACACCAAGGAGCTTTTCAGGCGATGCTTCGAGGTGACTGACTGCACCACCATCACCCTGCGGGAATTCTGGAAGGACCACTTCGACATCGTCACTTGCTTGAAGATGGTCAACACGGCCTGGAAAGGGATCAGCCAGAGAAATTTGAATTGCGCTTGGCGCAACCTGTGGCCGGACTGTGTGGCACCAAGTGACTCTGATGCACCAGAGTCAACAGTGGTGCAGGACATTGTTGCCTTGGGGAGGACCATGGGCCTGGAGGTCACGGAGGAGGACGTCTGCGAGCTGGTGGAGGGGCACGACGACGAGCTGACCACCGTGGAGCTGGTCGAACTGCAGGCAGAGGCTGCGCAGGAGCAGGCCTCACTGGAAGAGGAGGAAGCAACTGAGGAACGGCTGTCCTCCGAAAGACTGAGGGACATTTGCCAGAAGTGGAAGGAGGTGCAGACTTTTGCAGATCTACACCACCATGAGAAGCACGTGGCACATGACGCTGGGAACTTTTATGATACGAGGGTCATGTCGTCTTTCAGGGAGCTGCTGAAAAGGCGGATAAAGCAGCAGACTATGGACAGGTTCTTGACCAAGAAGCAAAGAGTGGAAGAGGAGCCTTCTTCGAGTGGTCCCCCAGAGTCTTAGAAAATGTACTGTGCACTTTGTTGATTTTTAAATGTTTTTCTGTCATGTTTATAAAGTTAATTTATTTTCCCTTCAATTTTTGAACTGCTCTTTACAGTATGTGTGACTTTAAAGAGCAGTTAATAAACTGTTGTTGTACCAAATTTGGCTTTGTTTGGACTTTTTTTGACCATAGGAACGCATTAATTGATTTTCAATGCATTCCTATGGGATTTCGTGCTTCGCAAGACGAAAAATTCGCTAGACGACAAAAATTGCGGAACGAATTAATTTCGTCTTGCGGGGCACCACTGTACACAATTTTGGCTGTAGGCATGATCCCTGGAACGTAACCCCCGTGTAAGATGTGGACCTACTGTATTCCATAGCTATACTCTTGTGGTTGCAAGTAGCAGCAAGAACAAACCACTGTAGCAGCTAGGTCATCTGGAAGCCAGGAGAATGACTTGTATTTTTAAAAAAATAACTATCTTCCCCTTGTGCTTTCTGTGCTGCCTTGTGATAGTACATACAGTATTTTAATTAAACAAACATGAATTACTCACAAAAATGATAACTGCATCTAAATACATTAGAAAGGGTCTGGAAACCAAGCCTTATGAGGAACAGTAGAGGGAACTGGGTATGTTTAGCCTGGAAAAGAGGAGACTGAGAAGAAATTATAACCATCTTCAAACTGTGCATAGCTTGGCATTAGATGCTGGTTGAACTATGTATTTTATTTATTGAACATTTACCATTTAGACTTGAAACTAACACGACTAAACCTGCTTCCAATAGTACGTTTTGTGAACCACAGTTAAAATGTTAGACTATAGACTGCAGTTGCACCTAACATCAAGTTTTAGTAATTAAAAAGAAATTAAGATTTTATTAAAGTTGTTATTTCCTATGGAAAAGAAGTCACACTGCCTTTCAAGGTGCATGCATGTTTTAGGCTGCAATCCTAACCTTGTATATTTAGAAATAAATCCTATTGATTCTAATGAGGCTTACATCCAGGAAAACAGAATAAGGCTTGCATAAACTAATGGGATTTACATCTACGTAAACATGCCTAGATCACGCTATTAAACAAACATTAAACAAATAGGATTCCGATACAAAAACTTACCTTGGCTAGTTTTGTTTATCATCATAATTATATATAAGAATAGCAACGTTTTTAGATGCAAGAACATACATTGCAACATTTTAATATTAAGCCGGTTTACCTCACCATTGTCCCACGCAAATTCTCCATACCCAAGTTTTAGATCCAATGCAAATTCTCCTCTATAGCTAGAACCATCAGGCCACTCTTGTACACCAACTTTAGTTTCAATCTTGTTGTTGTTCATGTCTTCTTCACAATATAAATATTGCGGTTCGATTTCTTCCTCATAATCTTCAGCCTCTTCTTCTTCTTCCTCTTCTTCATCTTCTTCATCACCATCATAATCAAGTGCAGATTCTGGCTCATGTTCAGTTTCATCTTCCACTTCAACATCCCTTGACATGCCACGTCTTCTCTTTTTTTTGGGTTTCACTCTGAAATCATTATTAGAAAGAGTCGCCAATGTTCAATTACCAAACTGAGGACACAGAACATTAATCAACCAAAGACCTGGTGAAAGAGATACGTTTTCACCCAGAGCCTAAAGATATGTAAAGGTGGTACCAGTTCAGCCTCCCTGCAGAGAGCATTCCACAAACAGGGAGCCACCGCAAAAAAGGCCCGCTCTCATGTTGCCATCTGCACACCTCTTGATGATGAAGGAGGCACACAAAGGAGGGCCTCAGATGATGAACACAGGGTCAATATTGCACCTCTGAAAGGTTTTTAGTCTGTCTGAGGCTTACAACAATTTTAAAAAGAAATAATGTTAAGATAATTTTAAGAAAGTGTGCATCCTAGTAACGAAATACGCGGGTGGCACTGTGGGTTAAACCACAAAGCCTAGGACTTGCCGATCAGAAGGTCGGCAGTTCAAATCCCCGCAACGGGGTGCGCTCCCATTGCCCTGCTCCTGCCAACCTAGCAGTTCGAAAACACGTCAAAGTGCAAGTAGATAAATAGGTACCGCTCTGGCGGGAAGGTAAATGGCATTTCCGTGCACTGCTCTGGTTCGCTAGAAGCGGCTTCGTCATGCTGGCCACATGACCCAGAAGCTGTACGCTGGCTCCCTCGGCCAATAAAGCGAGATGAGCGCCACAATCCCAGTCGGTCACGACTGGACCTAATGGTCAGGGGTCCCTTTGCAACCAAATGAAAAGAGCCAGCACTTAATGCAGAATCTAGTGACTATATCTAGATGCCTGACTCTATAGAAAGATCATGTCTGCCCTTTGCCACCCATCAAACTCAAGTGGTACATAAGAGAGTTCACCCCACAGAAGAAAATTCCCCATACCGATACCACCTTCACTATTTCATGGCACTTAAATCACGTAAAATATGTCAAGTATTTCCCATACAGAGAAACAAACACAAACATTCTCCGCCCCCCACCCCATCTATCTACAATATGTTCCCCTAAAGAGATTGGCCGGGGCTGCCAGAGAAACCTGTTAATTACGATAGACAGATAAATCAATGTGCTTGTATATGGCACACCACACTCCAGTGAATTTGGTTTTACCTGTCACAAGATTTTTTAAAAGTTTACAGTACATTAAGCATCACACTTCAAGCCTCAGGGGTAGTTCTGAATAAAACTTTTCAGTACCCCTTGCACAGGTGCATTCTTCATCTGCCATAGGCAACATTAGTATGCTCCTGACTCTGACTCTAAACAAACACTGAGGACACATTTTATGCAGTGTGGGAAGCAACCATCGTAAATCAATGTACTTTATGGCACCCACCAAGCTGCTAGCTTTAAATACTCGCTCAGTTGGTAGAGCATGAGACTCTTAATCTCAGGTTTGTGGGTTTGAGCCCCACGTTAATTATTCATTATTATTACTATTATTTTATTTATACCTCGCCCATCAGTCTGGGTTTCCCCAAGCACTCTTGATTCCTGCATTGCAGGGGATTAGACTAGAATCTAGATGATTCTTGTGGTTACTTCCAACGCTAGAATTCTGTAGACACGGATATGGCCAAATGGTACACACAGTGCTTTTTTCTGGGGGGATGCAGGGGTACGCACACCCCTAAACATTTTGTGAATCTTTGTACTTTTGTCAGTTTACTGTATTTATTTTTCCAGATTTGGACTATAAAATGGTGATTTTCTTGAGTCAAAATGAAAGTACCCCTAAACATATTTTTTTTTTAGAAAGAAGAAAAAAAGCATTGGGAACCTTTATGCCCTTTGCTCCTGTCCAACCACATTACGTCTTTATTTGGTATTCACTCCCAACAGTAAGCTCATGTTTGGTTTTTCTAAAGTGGTTAAGGAAAGCTAAAAGCAATAACTTGCGTCATTTTTAAATGCTTACAATTAAAAGCAAAACAATAAAAACACACCAAGGTAGGAGAGAAGAAGAAACCCTCACAAATTCCACCAGTTTTCACCCATCTATATGCGCCCGCCCACCACGTGCCAGAATGGCCGCGTGTCCGTTTATGCCTTCGCACACGCAGCCCCGCTCCACCGTTCACACGTAACTTTCCCCACGCGTGCACACCTGCAGCCACGCGGGGGGATTGTGACGCGCCTGGGCTTCCGCCAGAGGTCTCCCGAGGACAAGAAACCTCTTTGTCCCCCCACCCCAACCCACCCACCCCCAAGCAAGCAGAAGTCCCGGCTATGAGAAGCCCCCGAAGGCGGCCAGGGCACCCACCCAGGAGCCGCAGCGGCGCCCCCGGCAGCCTCCATTCGGCCTGGACGCCCAGAGACAGGAGGCTCTAGCTCTGGCTTAACCCGCCGGATCCGCAGAAGAGCCGAGGGCGCAACGTAACAGACCACCCGGTGGCCGGAGAGCGGCTGCCCCTCAACGGAAAAGGCGACGCGCGTCTGGTCCGCTACGCAGGTGCCGACCGACTCCCGCCAACCCCTCTCTCCCGTTTGGGCAGCGCCGCCTCCCTGTTCCCATAGAAACGGGGGGGGGGTTTGGCGCAGGCGCAAGTGCGGCCTCCTTGGGCCCAACTGCCGCGGGCCCTTTGATCCCTGAGGTGACTTTCCTGCCCAGGTGTTGAATTGTCACGTGACGTCCCTGCCCTCTCACCAGCACCACCCCACGCCAATTCGCCCTGTTTCCTTTCCCTGGAGGAAAGCCTTCTTTGGTACTATATTCCTATATCCCGTGTTTCTCACAATAGTGAGCAAAAGAAGAATAAAAATATTTATTCTATGCAATGGAGGATGGCAGGCACATGTGTGCCTCTTCGTTGCTTTCACCGCTCTTTGGTGATCAGGTGTCACCTTTAGCAGAAAATTAATCTACATTCAGTCACGCCTTGTTGGTTCACAATGGTATGTAATTGTAATCGGATCTAGCCTGAAATTTGAAAATATTGGGTGCATCTTTTTCTTTTACGCAGCAGCAATAACAAAGATGCCCAGTCGAAACAAAATAAAAAAATTCCTTCCAGTAGCACCTTAGAGACCAACTAAGTTTGTCATTGGTATGAGCTTTCATGTGTATGCACACTTCTTCAGATACCCAGTGCTTCCCCCCCCCAAAAAATAAATAAATGTTTAGGGGTACTCTCATTTTGACTCAAGAAAATCACCATTTTATAGTTCAAATCAGGGAAAATAAATACAGTAAATGGACGAAAGGCCGTCATCGGGGGTAGCAACAGAATGAACGATTCAGCATGCTAGAGAAGAAACTAAAAAATTTTAAATTTGTAGTTTCTTCTCCCATTAGGTTCACAAAATGCTTAGGGGTATGCGTACCCCTGTGTCCCCCCAGAAAAAAGCACTGAAGATGCCTACTAATAGAGAACTCATTCTCTGAATCCTTGGCATAAAAAGCCCAAGTCAAATGGATATGGCCCCTTTAGATAGTTGATCCTTGATGTAAGGAGTTCCTGCTTGCCATCATTTGTAACTGCTTGATAACCTAAGAAGAGCCATACTCTAGATCAGGCCAAAGGCCAGTCTAGTCCAGCCTTGTGTTCTCACAACGGCCAGCCAGATGCTGTTGAGAAGTCCACATGCAGGACTGAGTAATGTAATGGCAAGCTTGTGATTTCCAAGCAACTGGTATTCAGATATATTGCCTGTGATGCTGGTTATCATCATATTGCATTTGAGCCTTGTCATGTTATTGTTACTCTCTAATAGGCTGTGTGAGCTACCTTGCCAGATGGTTTCTGTACTGTGACATACATCTATAGGCAAGTCATCCTGTCTTTCTGTTTTTTGTTCAAAAAGGATAGTGACAACAAGGCTGTCCCGTTCTTCCTGCAGCCATTTCCTGAAGCTGCTGGTTCTTTTTTCCCCCCAGAAGGTATTTACACCTTCTGCACTGGAATACAAATAACTATTTCCCAACTTTCAGTCCAGCCAGTATATGAAAATGGAATATCACAGTAACTAACTTGGAAGTGCCAATCAAAGGTGGAAAATGCTTCAGCTGATTGTGGATGTGTGAAAACAAATGATACAGAAGAGGCATCAGAATGCACTGGTTGTTTCCAAATGGTCACAGATGGCAAGCTACTTGCCTAGCTATATTCTGATGTTTGCAAGTCAGGATGCAAAATTAAAGCCCATTCCAATGGCCATTTGTGAACAAGCTTACAAATCACTATGCAAACTGCCAAAGAACCCTTGGTTTACCCAGAGTTGCCCCACCTCTTCCTTGACCTCAGAATCTGCCAAGACCCCTATCAAATTTTTGTTTTGGCGGGGTTGTTTGTTGGAGACATTGCTTATTTTGGAGGGAGATGTTCCTGCTTTTTTGTTAGTGTTTTATTTACTTTGAGGAGTCTTGGATATTTTGCCTAATTTTTGGAGATTGGATGTGTGTCCGAACCTTACCAGTATTTCTTCTGTTAAATGGATATTTTGTGGTGCCCATGAAAGATTTCTAAATTTGCTCCTGGCCCCTAACAGGTTGAGGACTTTTTTAATGCATTCAGCTGTATCTCAGTTAAAGAATATGCAGTAGCAATATATAAACAGATAATTTAAAACTCTATAAAGCAATCAGTAACAGAAAATTATTCAGCACCTTTAAACAAAAGCCCAGCATGACCACAAATCACAATAAAATAGTAGAAATCAGAACCACAAATTTCTACAGCCTGGTTAGTCATTATGTAAAACAACAGTTAACAATTTCATTTAAAAGAGCTGCTTACGGACTTGTAGGGATACGGCCTGTCCAATCTCACTTGAAAGAGAATTCCACACATATCCTTTTTAAAGAAGCATGTTTGTCTCGCACATCTCTGAGTCATTATATAATTTGAACGGTTATGAGTTCTGCTGTTATTCAAAGCGGAGAAAAGCCTCTCCTTTAAAATGGCTTGGTCCTTGCTCTTACTCAGTATCAGTGTTCAGTTTCTTCTTCATCATCATCATAACCAAGTGCAGATTCTGCCTCATTTTCAGTTTCATCTTCCCCTTCGTCTTCTCTTGGGATGCCATCTCCTACTTCCTCTTTGTTCACTCTGGAATCATGATCAGAAAGCGTCACTAATGTTAATTTACCAAACTGAGGTCATCTAACCCTAAACTCACATTTGGGAGTTCCACTGATTTCAAAGTGACTTACTTGGAAATAAGTATGCTTAGTGTGCCTATTGACTATTGCAAAAAATCCCTTTGTACTTCTTTTGTGCAATGCTCTCCCAGCCCTCATTTGACAAGAGAGTAAAGTAACATCTGGATAAGCCCTCTGGGGTTGCATTCTGGGGATCGCTCCTAAAGCAAAAATCACATATAGTCAAAACACATTGTGTGAAATGGCAGGCGGGATTGCCAGAGTCTTGTTTCTTTCTCTCTCTCTTTTTTTTTGCCAAGCACCTTCTACCTCAAGGATCTCCTCTCCCCCTCCCCCATATCAACCAATCCAGACCCTGCAAAAAATTATCATCTGAGGCCCTTCTCTGTGAGCCTTCTCTGTGAGAGGTCCAGAGGGTAGCAAGACAAGAATGGTCTTTTCTGTAGTGGCTTCCCACTTGTGGAATGCTCTCTCCAGTAACTAATAACCAATAACACCCCCCCCCAGGGCTATGGCATTTTATTTAAAACACATAAAGGGTTTTATGATTAAGTGATATACAAATGCTGTCATATAAAGCAGTAAATCACTCAGCATCTACTAAAATAGCAGACAATGGTAATTGTAATGCATTGGTTCCTTCCAAACAGCCATAGGAATACATGGAGAATTCTGAATTGTCTCATTCATATATGATTATTTTAAATTAATGTACTTATTGAATACATTTATATGCCACATTTCAGGGAGGAGGTTCCACACAAGGGAACAAACACAAATGTATAAATTAAAGAATGTGCAGTACCAATATGTAAAGCACCTTTAAACAAAAGCCCAATATGACCATAAATCACAATAAAATAGTAGAAATCAGCACCACAGATTTGCACAGCCCAGTTAGTCATTGTGTAAAACAACAGTTAACAAGGCCAGCTTACAGACTTGTGGGGATATTATGGCCTGTTAATCTCACTTGAAAGAGTGTTCCGCATGTATCCTCTTTAAAGAAGCATGTGTGTCTTTAAAGCTGCAAATGTCAACTCACACATCTGAGTCATTATATAGTTGGAATTGTTATGAATTTTGGTCCTCTCAATCAGTATCAGTGGTCAAATAAATAAAATTCCTTTGGCGTGTTGGATGGACTTCTCCCAAAGATCAGCTTCAGAGCTTAAGAGTACTTCTAGATCCGAGCATCCATCTGATGTCCAGGTTAAGCGGACAGAAACATTCATGATTGGATCCTGTTCTATTGTCAACCCTCTTGAATTAATCTGTCTTTGTATAATGTTTATTATTATTGCCATAATTGCATCAGGATTTTATTTTTCTAACCTGCTTTGAGACCAGTGGTTGAAAAGCAGTATATAAGATGCCAAATAAATGAATCAAATTAAAGGGAGATGGGAAAGGTTTCTCTCAATATTTTCTGTGTTTTGTACTCTGTACCTAAGAAATCCGCACCTAAGCTCTGTACCTTGTACCTAAGAAGGATTTTCTATATTCTCTGTGTCTTGGATCTAAGTAAATTTCTGTGCTAATCTTGTGCTAATCCTACTTCTGCAAAATGTACACAGACAGTCAGTCAGCAAAAAGCGGTTGCTTGCTAAATCTGGCAAACAGGTCAAGAGTCCATTTCTCTGGTTGCAAAATATTTTAGCTGCTGTAAGCAATAACCAACCAGACCTGCTAAATTGCTAAAGAGGCCCCTTTTCCTGTCTTATGCTTACTAATGCAAGAATGAGAAAAGACACGTGTATGAAGGAGAGGGGAGGGATTGCTTGGTTAGCAGAAAGACAGGAATGCTTAGCAAGCAATAAAATGTGTTTAGCAAGCAATATTTGCTAGCCGATTGGGGAAGTCTGGGGGTATAAGAAAGTCTGCTGAAGTGTCTTGCTTTACAGCCAGTGTATTTTTAGGAACTATCCAGCTGGTTGTCTCTGAGTACAGACCTTGTCTCTGTGCACAGATCTCAATAAACTCTTTTTCTCCAAAGAAGATTTTGCTTTCCTGGTACTTTTGTTCCCTCCGAGGTCCAGGGGATGGCGTGGCTAATGGATCCCTAGGTAAATAAGGCTTCATCTCTCTGGGGGCTCGTCCGGGATAAGCCCCCTCCCCAAATACGGACCGGAGGGCCAGGCTCAACCAAGGTGAACAGCTCAGCAGCGTTTGCAGGCTCCCGTGCGCACCCCGCCTGTTTCGTGGGGGGAGCCAGCCACACTGTTCTGGAGTGGAGACATCTAGTTGAGGGAGAACAAGAGGACGGCGCCGAGGGGACAGGTCCGCAGCGGAAAAAGGTAAGCCCGGCGGAAAGGGCAGCCCGACGGAAAGGGCAGGAGGCTTGATCAAACCTCCCCTGGTTGTGGCAGGGTGCCACAGGCAATAAGGTGCCACCAGGAATAAGGGGATTGGT